GGATAGGACGATGATATCTATAAACTGTTGGGGAGTACAGTTGTAGGTGGAGTGCACTCTGTCGGATCATATGATGGAAATGCAACAAGTATGTTGACCAAGCCACGTATTCTCAACAAGTTCTTGAATGACTTGAACTTGTTGAATGTTAGCAGTTGCTAGTTGGCATGGTTGTCCAACCCACTACGGTGTAAGAAACTTCATGAAGTATTTTCTTCTAAAGGGGCTGAATATTCACTAAGGCGGAGCTTTGTTTGGTAGGCGCATATACCGGGTGATGCATATCTCCTAAGGTGTTGGATATTCGCCAAGGTGGAGAATTGTTAGATATGGCTCATATCTAGGGAGTTGGAGTTTCTTTTGAAGAGGTGTGTCTCCTGGTGAAAAGGAGTGTCTCTTGGAATAAAGGGGGTTGGGAGGAGCGAGGGCGTGATTGTAATTATCTGTGGGTTTTATCGATAAATAGATGTGTAACCCTATGGGTATGTAACTCCTCTGAAATAGTGAAACCGCCGCTCGCTCCCGAGGACGTAGGCAATTCTTTGCCGAACCTCGTTAAATCTCTGTGTTCTTCTTCTGATTTGTGTCGATTCCTGTTTTTATTCCGCTAATTTCACAACAGAAAGGACTTTAAATCTTATTGAACATTATCTAAGATGTTTTTATTAAATTTCTGGGATATACAAGAACACAATGGATGTAAGGCTACTTGGCAACTATAGAGGAGTTTAATTTATTCATAAGGATGTTGTGTAGCACAATTCTAAGCAAGGGCATGCTTAAGTGTGGATAAAGTTGTATGTTGCTATTAGCTCAGTTTATGTTACTGATATATGCACTTGATTATATGTTGCTCCCTAGTTCTAAGATAAGAAGTGAGAGTGGTGAGGTTTAGGAGCTTAGATATTTCGAGCAAAAGTGGTTTGAATTGTTGGAGAAGTGGAGAATAAATATGTTGTATGAATTGTGTGATTCAGCGAGGATAATAAGAGGTTGATCTTTAAAATACCTCATGGAATAATAATTAAGAATCTAATTATTGTAATTTCACGCAACCTAATCAAGCACTTATGTTATAATAAAAATCACAACAAAGATTTATAGTTAAATAAGGTTGCATAAATGATTTGGTTTAATTAATTATGATTTTTCGAACTTAAGCTAACTAAATAAGCTGGATTGGACAAAACATCGAACTTAAACGAAGCCACTCTAAACAAAACCAAACTGGATTAAAAGGTAATTATCATCATGATAATGATTCTCTTATAATGACTCCAATAGGGATCAAACCAATTATATAAGAATATTAACGAGGGGGGCCAACGTACGGAAGCTTGAAGAATTTCATGTAACTATTTATTTAGTCAGTAATTTCATTTTCAACCTCAAAAGAAAATAGCAATTAATTATTACTAATGTTGCTAATTAGGAATTATGCAACTTTATCATAGCTTTACCGTTACAACTTACTAGTCATTGTCAAAAAGTTTTATGAGTTTATCGTAACTTGTCATGTAGATCAACCATATGCTAAATTGTGAAAGAATATTCCATCTGAAGTCGGGACACAAAATTGTGTCCGGACAACCATCCATAGGAAAAAACAAAAACTTCTGGGACGGACGGGTGCGGACTTCGGAGGTATTATTTTTGTTAGGTATGGCTCATATATCGGAAGTTGAAGTTTCTTGAAGTGAAGAAGTGTGTCACTTGGTGAAGAGTTGTGTCTCTTCATATTTTGTGGGTCGGGGTGTCTCTTCATATTTTGTGGGTTGGGGGAGCGAGGGCGTGTTGGTAATTTATTTATGGGTTTTATATATGTGTAACTCTTGGGTATGTAACTGAACTCCCCTCTGAATAGTGAAATTCGCCGCTCGCTCCCGAGGATGTAGGCATCTTTGTCGAACCCCGTTCAATCTCTGCGTTCTTCTTCTGGATTTGTGTCGATTCCTGTGATTGTTTCGCCCTAAATTTCAAAAAAAAAAATTCGCCTAAATGGTAGAGGCTGATAGTTAAAAATTGTAATATTTATCATTTTTCTTATTTTTCATAAAGTCTTCTTTTTGTAATAATTTTTCTAGGATCATTTGGGGCTCAGTTCGATAAAGCTGCTTTGCATTCAAGAATTGTATAACAGATTAACAAGCAAACTAAAATTTCAGTAAGAAGCACAAAGCTACAATCATATAAACCAGATACAGTGAATCTTTTGAAAAACTCGAAAAAAAAGACTAATAACATAATGCATAACATGTGTAATGCAGTACTGACTGTGAGATAGCTCTACAGCTCAAAAGCAGAAGCAATAAAGCTATCAGAGAGCCCTGTTCCAGTTTTGAATGTGAGTTTCTCAGATGTGGGAGTCTCCAAATAGACTTCTACAACAGAGAGCCATAACAAGAGCTCCTTCGTCTTAACACCAGTCAGCTTCTTCAACTTGTGCTTCTCAACGAAGGCAGTCACCTCCGGAGCATATGACACGGCTCTCTTGATCTGTTTGAAAACATGATCTTTCTTCTTCTTCTGAATGAGCCAGATGAAACCAGAAACACGGTTATAGCCGAATTCCTCAATGTTCTCCAAGGGAAACAGACCCTTTGGAAGGCAGAGCTCTTCGAGCAATTCAATCGACTTCTTCCTGCAGATTTCATCTCCCTTGAAGACCTCGGCGCCCTCCCTGTGGCTGTCAATTGCCTGAGAAGCCATTAGCTTAACTAGTTCAGGCGTATAGAATAAGACTCTATGTTTAAATGATTAAGAAGAATGGATGAGGAAGCTGTGAGTGAATTCTGACTCCTCAAAGGAGTATAAATAGTAGATTGAGAAGAGCTACGAGTTTAAAGGTTTGATGATGGAAGCCAACGGTTGGGATCAAGAGTTGGCAAACAGGACCAGGTCGACGTTGAGATCGTCAACAATGGCGTGGAGCCAGAAGGCATCTTTTACTTGGATACCTACAAGCTGAAATTTTTTCCACCGAAAAACTTCCTTAGAATTTTTATACTTACTAACTACTTATAAAAATAATATAAAATCACTTAGAAAAAATTAGTTTTGCGGCGGCATCATTTTTTCTTCTTTCAGATTTGAAAAAGATTTGCAATGTGATCGTCCTGCCACTTTCGCTAAGCCCTCGGAAGTTTGTGATTTTCTCGAGGCAAATTTACATGCATACCACTTAATGCCTACGTATTTGCATATCTAACATCAAGATTTTCATTTTTATATATATGCCACCTTATCTAAATCTAATGCATAAGAAGGTGCAATTCACTTTTATGTGAGATGAAAGATTTCGGTAGCATAAATGTAAAGAGTAAAGTTTGTGCTAGATATGTACATCCATAACAGTTGGGTGGCATCCATGTAAATTTAAATGCCTCTTTTTTTAAAAAAATAAAACGGGTCAGTTGCTATCACAAAGTTATTGCAGTATCATTACAATATATCATTTTGTGATAAAATTTGATTGCAAAATTTAAACACCATCTTCTTTATCATTTTTAAGGTGAATTATGTACTTATAGACTAATTACTTGTTAAACTTATTAATAGGGGGAAGACGAGCATCTTACTGATGGCCTAGATCCAATGTAGGAGGAGCTAGGACAATGAATGACAAAGTGATACTTCATAGGTGCAAAACTAATAGCAAAAGACTAAATTATCCTCTCATATAAATAATAAGCTCCCATATAAGTATAATCTGAATTTGATATATCTCTATGTGACTTATAAATGGCTCAGTAATTAATTGATAATTAAGAAAAAATATGATTATATTTGATGATTTATTTAGTATTCTTTCCAGGATAAATTAAGTAGTAGAATGTATGATGATGACAATTACATCCACTACACTTAATTAATTGAAGATAAAATAATGTTAACTTGCTCTAGTGTGTGAGTTTAGGCGTGCTAAAATATAATTAATTGAGTTAAATTTATCAAAATCTTCAGAATGATAAGCATATGCTTAAAAATAATTTTATTTTGATCATTTTCTTATCTAAGCTATGTTTTTATGCTATTCAAAATCATCTATAGTTTTTTTTTAAATTAATTTGGAATCGTTTATCTTTATATTAATTATTAGTATTTCTTGTTTATTTTAATTATAAAAATAAAAAATCATGTGCATAAAATTTATTTCATAATGGAATTAAGTTTAATAGTATTATATATATACACCTTGGAAGCTTAAATTTCATATTCATATTATTATATTTATAACTTACAATTAAAAATTTTAATAATGTTAATTAATAAAAAAATAGCAAACACTTTAAAGTTTATTTTACTGGACAATTTTTTTAGAATTTTCTATTTTAAATTCTTAAAGCTTTTTAACAAATCTATTATTCTATAATAGTATTTTAATTTTTTTGGTGCTCATTGGATCCTTTCAAAAAATTATGAAATTTGTTAGGTATGATTCATATACCATAGAAGGGACATATGTTGGAACGAAGCGGAGCGGAGCAGAGCAAAAGAATTTATCCAATCGGAGGAGTTTCGTTACATTGGTTGGGGGTGCGGGGCAACGGCCCGCGGTACGGTACAAGGGTAATTTTGTAATTACATATTGTACTTCAGGGTTTACTCCAGAGCTATATATATGATTGTTTGTAACCCTAGGGAGTATCTCATATTCTGTACTCTTTTTCGGAATTGAAAGAAGGTCACCGCTCTGCTCCCGATGACGTAAGCATCTTTGCAAACCTCGTTAATTTTTTTTTGTTCTTCTGAATTTTTGTCGATTCTTGTTTTTCTTCGCCCTAATTTCTCAACAAAACTAAATACTAATTATCATGGTTATAAATAATGAATGTATGTTGTAGTTAATAAATTTGGACTTGATTCATAGATTCATTAAATCATTTTGTTGTAATTTCATATTTTATATCACAATAAAATTATATTTCTTATGATAAAGTATATGTTTAATGCATATTAGTTACAATGTGTCTATTAAAACTCAATAACCATGTATCTAACCTAACTCAATTTTGAAGAGTTGTTTTTATTTGTTTTATCTATAACTTTCTTTAGTGTTCTTTTTGTTTTTAAGTAGAAATTGGACTGTTTAATGCAAACAATAATAACAAGACTTTTATCCCATTAAGTGGGGTCAGTTATTTTCTCCATTTCGTCCAGTTGAGTGTCATATTTTCATTTAATTCGAATAGATTAAGTTCATTTTTATACAATTTGCCTAACTCTTTCAGATCTACATTTGCCTTTCTTAACATAAGTCGAATCTAAAACATATATTCTTTTAATTAGATGGCCAAATCATTTAAGACAACTCTCTCTAATTAAATAAATCATATTTATTCAATTATATGTTTGATCCATGAACTAATCTACTAATGCTCTTGAATTGAATAAATTATATTTATCATGCTTAAAATGTCTATACTCACACTCTTAGCTTACAAGTTATTATATCAACACATCTTTATTTTTTGTTCTATGCATTAGTGTTTAGTGCTTTAATAACATAAGCTAGCATGGTAAAATTAATTTATATTATTGTTCTCAATATTTCTACCACTCACTTGTGTGGTTTTATTTTTTATTTAGCACCATTTTAAATTTGTGCATTCTGTTTTATAAAATGAGTTATTATGTATTATTAAAGTTTGGGTTTATTAGGTGATACATTGATTTAAGTACTTATTGTACATATTCACTCACATTAGTACACATAATCTTTCTTTTATGCTTATATATTTACTTTTAGAAGCTTTGTCATGTAGATTCAAGTCGGAAATAATATTGAAGAAATTTAGAGATATGTAAATTATATGTTGTTGTTTTAAGAAAATTGTACTGCTAAAATCGCTAGGGTATGTTATCGAACAATTATATGTTGTCGTTGTTTTATAAAATTTAGAGATATGAAAACACGCTAAAATCGCAATTAATCATTTCAAATGTTGTTGTTTTAAGAAAATTGTAATGCTCACCGTTTCTCTTATTTTACATACAGTCTTCTTTTGTAATAATTTTGCTAGGATCATTTTGCTCGATCTTAATTATTGCGGGGCTCAGTTTGATAAAGCTGCTTTGCATCCAAGAATTCTATAACAGATTAAGAAGCAAAATAATATTTCAATAAGAAGCACAAAGCTACCATCATATAAACCTGATACAGTGCAACACCTGAAAAACTCAAAAAAAGACTAATAACATAATTCATAGCATTTATAATGGAGTAATGTCTATCAGATAGCTCTACAGCTCAAAAGCAGAAGCAATAAAGCTATCATAGAGTCCTGTTCCAGTCTTGAAGGTGAGTTTCTCAGATGTGGGGGTTTCCAAATAGACCTCCACAACAGAGAGCCATAACAAGAGCTCCTTCGTCTTAACACCAGTCAACTTCTTCAATTTGTACTTCTCAACAAAGGCAGTAACTTCCGGAGCATAGGACACAGCTCTCTTAATCTGCTTGAAGACATGATCCTTCTTCTTCTTCTGAATCAGCCATATGAAGCCAGAAGTGCGGTTATAGCCGAATTCCTCAATGTCCTCCAAGGGAAACAGACCCTTTGGAAGGCAGAGCTCTTCGAGCAATTCAATCGACTTCTTCCTGCAGATTTCATCTCCCTTGAAAACCTCGGCGCCCTCCCTGTGGCTGTCAATTGTCTGAGAAGCCATTAGCCTAATTAGTTGAGGCGTATGGAAAAGGAATCTCTCTCTTAAGGTTGAAGAAGAATGGTTGTGGATGCTGTGAGAGAATTCTGAGTGCTCCAAGGAGTATAAATAGTAGATGGAGAAGAGCTACAAGTTTAAAACTTGTGTTGACCGTTCAGGGTTTGATGATGGAAGCGAACGGTTGGGATTAGGAGCTGGCAAACAGGACCAGGTCGACGTTGAGATCGTCAACACCGGTGGGGAGCCTTCAGAAACCTAATTGACTCTGGTTTTTAACTCTATTGTTTTCTATACCAGAAGATATATTTTGCTTGGATGACAAAAAGCGTGTTCTTCCACCCAAAGACTTCTGTAGAATTTTTATACTTGCAAACTATTTATAAAAATAATTTAAAATAACTTTGAAAACACTTATATTTGCGGCGGCATCATTCTTTCTTCTTTCAGATTTGAAAAAAATTTGCTTCTAATTTTGAGTGTGATCGTCCTGCTCTTTCGCTAAGCCCTTGGAAGTGTCTAATTATTAGGTGCGGAGGGCGCCCGCAGAGCTGTAAGTTTTAGGTGCAATTAATGCAAAAATAACAGCCGCGATGTGCGGCTGTGATCGGCTCTGCGGGCGCCCTCCGCACATAATAATCTCCTTGGAAGTCGTGATTTTCTCGAGGTAAATTTGCATCCATACCACTTAATGCCTACGTATTTACATATCTAGAACAAAGATTTTCGTTTTTAGATATATGCCACCTTATCTGAATCTAATGCATAAAAAGGTGTAATTCACTTTTATGTGAGATGAAGGATTTCGGCAGTATTATTGTAAAGAGCAAAGTTTGTGTTAGATATGTACATGCATAAAAATTGGGTGGTATCCATGTAAATTTAAATGCCTCTTTTTTAAAATAAATAAAATGGGTCAGTTGCTGTCACAAATTTGTTACAACATTATTACTATATATCATTTTAGGATGAAACTTCATTGCAAGATTTTAACACTATTTTCGGTATTTAGGTATCATTTTTAACGAAAATTATGTACTTATAGATTAATTCTTAGTTAAATTTATTAACAGGGGCGGACCAGCTTCTATTTTGAGGGGAGTAAACTGATCTTCTAGACCCAATGTAGGTGGTGCTAAGACAACGAAGGACCAAGATATATTTCAGTTGGGGCAAAACTAGTATTTCAGTTGAGCCAAAAGACCAAATTATACTCTCATATAATAAAAAGCTCTCATATAAGTAAAAAACTCTAAATTTGACCTGGACCCTAACTAGGTCCGCCTTTGAACTGATATATCTCTATGAGACTTATAAATGGCTCATTAATTAATTGATAATTAAAAAAATTATGATTATATTTGATGATTTATTTAGTATTTTTTTCAGGATAAATCATATAGTAGAACATATGATGACGACAATTTCATCCACTACACTAATTAGTTGAAGATAAAATAATGTAACTTGAGAATTCATGAATACGCAAAGGTAAAGGTTGGTCTTCGGCTAGCTTGCTCTAGTGTGTTAGTTTAGGCGTGCTAAAATATAATTATTGAGTTAAAATTATCAAAATCTTTAGAATGATAAGCATATGCTTAAAAATAATTTAATTTAGATCAATTTTGATCTAAGCTATGTTTTTTATGTTATTCAAAATTATCTATAGTTTTTTTAAAAGTTAATTTGGAATTGTTTATCTTTATTCGATTTATTAGTATTTCTTTTATATTTTAATTATAATAATTAAAAAATCATGTACTTGAAATTTATTTCATAATGGATTTAAGTTTAATATTATTATATATATACTTTTTGGAAGCTTAAATTTCCTAATCATATCATTATACTTATAACTTACAATTAAAAATTGTAATAATGTTAATTAGTAAAAAAAATAGCAAACACTTTAAACCTTATTTTATTGGACAATAAATAAGTTGCATGAATTGGGTGATTCAGTGAGGATAACAAGAGGTTGATCTTTAAAATACTTCATGGAATAATAATTAAGAATCAAAGTATTGTAATTTCATGTGACCTAATCAAGCACTTATGTTATAATAAAAATCTCCACTAAGATTTATGGTTAAATATTGTTGCATAAAAGGTTTGGTTTAATTTATCATGTTTTTTTCGAACTTAGGCTAACTAAATAATTAGAATTGGACGAAACATCAAGCTTAAATGAAACCACACAAAAAATAGCAATTAATCATTTCTAATGCTGCTAATTAGGAATTATGCAATTTTGTCAAAGCTTACGGTTACAATTTACAAATCACTGTCAAAAAGTTTTATGAGCTTAATGCAGCTTGTGATGTTGATCAACCAGATGCTAAATATACTTCTGCAAGTATTCGCTGAAAGTCAAAATTGTAATGCTCACCATTTTTCTTATTTTATGTTAAAAAATTTTGAAAAATTATTATATTTCATATTTGTTATAACTCTATATTTAGAGGGTTATAAATTATATGAGAGATCTTGGAAATTTATATTTATTTCTCTCCGTAAATTAGAGAGATTAGCTGTCTTTTATATTTTGTTATTATTTCTTTATATTTCTATTGTATTCTGTTTTTTTTTGTTTTCCTTATCAGTAAATCTTGTCCTTTCATATCTTTTAATGATATCAGAGTCATACCAATTTTCTTCGATATGACGACTTCTTCTTCTTCCTCCCAAAAAATATCCTCCACCTCATCTGCCCATGTTTCAAACGGAATCGATGGCACTTCCTCCCTCATCACTGGTCACAAACTCAACGGCCAAAACTACCTCCAGTGGTCTCAATCCGTAATGATGTTTATCTGTGACAGAGGCAAGGATGACTATATCACTGATGATATCGTCGCTCTGACCAAGGATGACCCAAAATTCCAAACATAAAATGCAGAAAATCACATAGTCATGTCGTGGTTAATCAATTCTATGACCAACGACATTGGCGAAAACTCTCTTCTCTACAACACGGCTAAGAGTATTTGGGATGTTGCTCAAGAGACATAGTCTCACTCAGATAACACATCCAAGCTCTTCGAGATCGAGTCAATCTTCCATGATCTTCGCCTAGGTGATCAATCTGTGACTCAGTATTTTAATGCCCTCTCACGTTACTGGCAGCATGTTGACATGTATGAAGCTCATGCCTGGTCATGCACTCCGGACTCCAACTTATATTGCCAGATCATCGAGCAAAAAAGGATATTAAAATTCCTTATCGGCCTCAACAACTCTCTCGATCATGTCCACTCTCGTGTATGAAGCTTCAAACCACTACCGAGCATTCGCGAGGCCTTTTCCGAGGTTCACCGTGAAGATAGCCGCCAGAAAGTCATGCTTGGGACTATCTCCACCTCGCCTAATCTCTCCGCTGACGCCTCCGCCATTGCAGCTCGGGTTCCTCCACCTCGACACAGCGGCAACCCATCACGCAAAGGTCGTCCCTGGTGCGACCATTGCCGCAAACCAGACCATAATAAAGACAAGTGTTGGGTGCTTCATGGAAAGCCAGCCGCGATGATTGGAAGCCTCAGTCTGATCGCGCTCCCCGTGGCAACAGTGTCGTCCCTGCAGATGTCCTTCTTGCACCAGTGCCCAGTCCATTCAGCAAAGAGCAACTAGATTTACTGCGCAAACTAATCGGCAAACGGCAAACCACTTGATCTGGTTGTTCCCGACCCCATCACCGACCTGCTCACGCATCAAGGTACGTTCTATCATGCCTTCACAGTCAATCAAGGATCCCTCGATCAGTGGATCATCGATTCTGGCGCTTCTCATCACATGTCTGGTGATACCTCCCTTCTCCATAACTATATGTCATGTGAAGACAACTCCACCATCCGCGTTGTCGATGACTCTGCCTCAAAAGTCACTAGTGTTGGCTCCGTGCGCATCACCCAAAACATTCTACTCCGATCTGTGCTTCATGTTCCTACTTTAAATTGTTATTTAATATCCATCAAAAAGTTGACTAGTGATCTGAGGTGTATTGCTAAATTTTTCCCTACCATGTGTGAATTTCAGGATGCAGACTCAGGGACGACGATTGACAATGTTGAGATATGCTCGTGTCTCTAAGTCATCAACGGGACTTCACCACTACGACATCACTGCTGACATTTGTCTACCCATCATTATGTCATTAATTCTAGTGTCAATAAAAATTCTGAGATCATGTTATGGCTTTTTCGTCTTGACCATCTAAATTTTATGTACCTTGCAAAACTATTTCCAAATTTATTTATCAATAAAGATGTTCGTTCTTTTCAATGTGAATTTTGTCAACTTGTCAAACACACTCACACGTCATTTCCACGTATTGGTTAAACCTCTTTCCGGCCCTTTGCACTCATTCACAGCGATATATGGGGCCCATCCCGTATTACAAACCTTACCGGGACTCGGTGGTTTATCTCATTTATTGATGATCACACTCGACTAACATGGCTATTTCTTATGAAAGATAAATCTGCAGTTTGTCACATATTTGAACAATTTTACTCAATGATCCAAACACAATTCCAAACCTCCATCTAGGCACTCAAGACGGATAATGCAAAGGAGTACTTCGCTTCCGTCCTCGGCTCTTATCTCTCCTCTAAAGGCATCCTCCATCTCAGTTCTTGCATCGACACTCCTCAACAAAATGGGATCGCCGAACGCAAGAACTTCCACCTTCTCTAGGTGACTTGTTGTCTCATGTTTTCCTCTAAAGTGCCTAAGGTTTTTTTGGGTGACGTTGTATCCACTGCAGCCTTCCTCATCACCAGGATGCCTTCTCGGGTCCTCAAATTTTAAAGTCCAGTCCATCTCCTTCTCAAATCATTTTTCCACACCAATGCAATTACCCAAAATTTACCTACCAAAGTATTTGGTTGCTCCTCCTTTGTTCACATTCATTCACACAATCGCAGCAAACTTGACCCCAAATCTACTAAATGTATTTACCTCAGCTACTCGCCTCTTCAAAAAGGGTATAAGTGCTACTCTCCTCTCGCAAGAAAAACCTACAA